TATTGCCTAAACAAACTCGGAGAAGACCAGGCAACAGTAAGATCAGCAAAAAGAAGACAACTGGATCAAGACAATATCCTTAATTTTAGGAAAAGAAATCGCAATGGGACCAGAGAGGAACAATGAGCCTTATCAAAACAAGTAGAACCCCGACATTTGTGGGTTGGCACACAAGAGACTAGGACGTAGGAAGTGATGGACATGGTATTGCAGATAGAAATAGGTAAGACGCGGGGGCTAACAATAGAACTGTTTGATCATAAACGTGATCCTTGAATCACGACTATTCTTAGCCAACTAGCTCTAGCTCCACTGTTTCTATCCTCTTTCTATCTCCACTACCAAATCTATGACTTTCCCTGTCCTAGTCTCTTGTGTGCCAAACCCACAAACGTTGTGGTTCATCATTGAGCATAATCAAAGCAAGCAGTACCACAACATTTATGGGTTGGCACACAAGAGACTAGGGCATGGCAAGTCATACACTTGGTATTAGGGATAGAAACAGGATAGACGAGGCGGTGATTGGAGCTAGTTGTCTTACAAGAGGTTTTACAAGAGACTTGGTGCATGTAACAAAGGCTTGACGACGAGACTTACTCAAATTAGTGACCCAGACGCAGGTGAGGGCGAATAACGCCTCGAGTAGCACAGATGGGGTGACAGAGGTCGAGTGAAATGCTTAAACCACGGCGATAGTATACGGATTCTATGGGGCAAGAGGGAGACTGTGATAGGACCTAGGTAAGGAGGACTGCGTAACAATATGGCGGACTCTGATCCCAATATCCAGAATAGGGTGAAGGGGATGAGAACGACGGCGTGGAGTGTAAAGGGTTTTCATGAATGCCGCTCAAAGGGGCATCCCACACTACATCGAAATAAGCACAGTAAATATTGTCACAGTGAAGGTGTGAAAAGAGGATATAGAAAATGTGAATAGCCAAGGGCAGAAGGAGAGATACCACAACTGTTTAGTACACGTTTGGTCAAAGGATTAGCTTCACTTGTCTCTTTGACGAGTTGTTGTGTTGTGCTGAGAATGGCAAGACTCACTGACGATGCCGGCGAAACGTTTGGGAATGTACCACGTCCATGGTCCGACTTTGGAAATGATTATGCTTACAATGAACTCCGGACAAGGTGCGTTCCTCTAAGTCTTCTTACCGATACGACCAAGTTGCGAAAACAAGGTCAAACAACTTATCTACAACGAAAGAAGGCTGCGACCAGACAAAAGGCCACACCATCTTGGTCTTCATACCTTCAGTATATTTTTGTTCTATTTCGTTCTGTATGGATTCCTGTTCTGATGATATTTGACAGGGCGGTACAGACAAAAACTTAGAACAGGTTGGTTGGGATCGCAGGATGTTGGGCCGAGGACTTCTTGGCAGTATACAATAGTCTTTCTTAGGCGGCAATCCTCCTTAGGTTTCCGGTGAGACCGCATCACGAATCCATTCACACGAAATTTTCCTTCTAAATGCAAAGTCATGCATCAAGCTTTCCCAAATATTTCAACGAGTTCATGTTTAAAAATATGAAAAGGACTCTTTGATTTAGTACATTTTTTACTGTAAAAAGCCTGGCATTTTGAAGCTCTTCATCAGTTGGAGGTGGCCATTGTTAAGTACATCCTCAATACGACACTTCTGCTCATGCCCACGTGTACCCCGAGCTGCCTCTACGTGCAGGGCCTCTCAAGGTACCATAAACCCAACTACTATTCGAGTGGTTTAACCACGTCTTCGCAACTTGATCGCATTGTCGGAGAGAGAGATAAAGAAGTGTGATATTTGAAGAATTACTTTCATCTAGTCCGAAAGTGTGCAAGGAAGGGATTTGTAGAGTTTTGCTCATTCTCTTGCAAGAAGGGAATATGATCAGACTGAAAGTAACCTTCGCAGGAATGAAGGCCAGGATGGTGTGGCCTTTTGTATGGTCGCGGTCTCCTTTAGTTGTATCGGAGTTGTTTGACCTTGGTTTCGCAACATGATCATATTGGTAGGAAGACTTAGAGGGACGCACCTTGTCCGGAGTCCATCGTATGCATGATCACTTCCAGAGTCGAACTGTGGAAGTGGTACCTTCCCAGACGTTTCGCCGGCATCATAGTCGGCATCGTCAGTGAGTCATGCCACTCTCAGCAACCAAGCTACATCTCGCCAAAGAGACAAGTGAAGTCAATCGCTTGACTAACTTTCTGTCGAGACGGTTATGCTATCGCTCCTCGTTCTGTCCTAGTCCCATTATCCATTTCCTTCGCTCTAGTCTCGCCCTCGCCTTACCACAACTTCTGTCATGTTTACATTCCACAAAAGGTGTGACCTTTTGGTGAATTTACTTTGGCATCATCACACCTGCTGTTTGCCTTGCCCCCCTGCTCCACTGCCTTGCTCCATTTTCCTCTGGCTTACGATAGATCCTTGAACCAGACGTCTCCTTTTTGCTTGTCTTGTTGCATCCCTGTTTTCTCCCTGTTTGATCAGACAAGAAGCAAATTTATCACTAACTCTGCCCTTTTCCAATCTCCTGTTCATTAGAAGATGCAAGAGAGGGACCAGATGCTGCCGTCATTTCCCATGCTTCTACCTCCTCTCGACTTCCTTAAAAGCCGATAGTAAAGTCAGGCTTCTCGACCGACAACGTACTAATACGAACTTTGTAAGTACAACGAGTAAATGGGTTTCAATAAATCTACTGAAAAAACATTGTTGGAGACTTTATTTTGTACAATCAACTGTATAAAGCACCTCGGATTCGAGTCCCGTCAGTTGAAACTGCAGTCCACTGTAGCCTGGATGAAAATATCTTTTGTAACACAAGACTAAATGTGAAATTTAATTGAAACGTGAGGTCTATTCAGGTTAATATGATAAAACTTCAACTACCAGTTCTTCATCCCCTAAAATAAAATAGAGTGAATAATTCTCATTTAGATAATCTACTGGCGGTCATGGAAACCTACTCGTAAGAATGGCAGCTTGCTCTGATGATACCATGACCAACGAAAGATTCCACGTTTTCACCACGATGGAAGAAGCCTTCCTTGAGGACAGCGTCAACAAGATTATTTCAGTAAACTCAAACGACAATTGACCAAAGGAATCCATAATCTTCTACTCACGGGAACCATCTTCGAATCTCTTCCCTGCACATATATAAGGACACTCGAAGCAGAAGTGAGCTCAATAAAGTTCGCATTGTTGGATAGACCTGCATTTCGTATGAAAGTGCATGAAGAATAAATTCGAAAGTCGATCTTAACAGAAAATGACGGCTGAATCCCATTGTGCTGCAGTCGTTTGGCTTTAAGACGACGTTTAGGTTGACACAGTCCACGAGACATCCTCACTCTTTTCGTGTGAAAAAGGACTGAGCTTTCGTCCATCGTATGATGGACAACATCAGAGCTGGACCTTACTCCTGTAAAAATCTCACGTTAAAACTAGGGCAAGAAGACCTCTTATATAGACTAAATTTAGCATTTATAGATATTTAATGATTTGTATATTTATCTTACATGCTGCTACTTTTTTTCGAGTGTGTGTGTGTGTTTGTGTGCGAATGTGTGTTTGTGTGTGTATGTTTGTAACGTCTATACGCAATACTGGTCCTAAATCAGAGTGATAAAAAAGGATAATGCCAGACTCAGATCATGAAGATTTAATTAATGACCCAAGAAAAAGCACTGAACGAGATTGCGTAAGTCCGTTAGCAAATATGAGTGAGGTTATGAAATGTAAGCCTGTAAGCATGTGAGTCAGGTTGCGAAACCAAATGTCATAGTCTACCAGTTTAGGGTCTTTCGGGTTTAACCACCAAAAGGAAGGCATGAATATGGCTGCGTAATCTCGTAAGTCTGGTTAGGTTGATCAATTTAATCTAATATAGGAGTTGTTTGACCTTTTTTTCGCAACTTGGTCATATTGGTAGGAAGACTTAAAGAAACGCACCTAGTCCGGAGTTCATTGTATGCATAATTATTTCCAAAGTCGAACCGTCGACGTGGTACATTCCCAGACTATTCGCCGGCATCGTAGTCGGTATCGTCAGTGAGTTTTACCATTCGTAGCACTATATTACAACTTGTCAAAGAAACAAGTAAGCCTATCCTTTGATCAAACACTACATCAAAATAAGCACGGTAAAAATTGTGACAATAAAGGCGTGATAGGAGGATATAGAAAATGTGAATAGGCCAGGGCAGAATGGGAGATAACATAACTGTTTAGCACATGTTTGGTCAAAGGATCAGCTTCATTTGTCTATTTGACGAGTTTTAATATGGTGCCACGAATGGTAAAACTCACTGAC